TAGACAAGGTCACTAGGGTAAGGCCGCCACGATGGGATTAGTGCCCGGTAAGAAGAGACACCAGCGAGCTTACTCGCTTCCCACCTCCCCCCACCCCACACTCACAGGCACACAAAGAGGCCATGTGAGCACCAGAAAGTGGCTGTCTGCAAGCAAGGAAGAAAGCCCTCACCACAAACTCCACTGCACTTTTGTCTTGGACTTCTAGCCTCCAGAACTGTGAGAACAAAATTTTTGATGTTTAAGTCACTCCATCAATGGCCTTTTGTTATGGCAGCCTGAGCGGACTAATACAGAAGCCTACTGTTCTAAGTCTTATGCTACCTATGAAATGGTGTTGACGTTTTTGGAAGGTAAACGATGGTGAGAGATGTGTATTGTAAACCCCAGAGCAGTCACTAAACATCCGTGGTTTGTTTCCTCTTCTCTTTCTCCTTTAAAAAAAAATCAAGTTACTTTTCATGATTCTCTTTTATCTCCTTTGTTGGCTTCTTAGTTATAACACTTCTTTTGATTATGATGTAGTTTAGTGTAATTTTATTCATTTATTAGGTAGAGGGTTCCTTGAGTTTCTTAGATCTGTGAAGTTTTTATACTTTTCAACAAATTTGGAAAATTTTCAACCATCATTTCTTAGAATATTTTTTCTGACCCTCCCATCCCTCCTTTGTTGGCTTCAGCTACATGTATTAGGCTATTTCAGATTGTCCCACAGTTCCCTGATTTCCTGTAGTCTTTTTTTCCTTCTGCTTTTCAGTAGTTTCAAAATGAATTTGTTTTCACTAATCTTTTCTTATGCATTATCTACTCTGCCACTAATTTTACGCACTGAACTCCTCATCTCAGACATTGTTGTTTTCATCTCTAGAAATCAGATCTGAGGGGCGCCTAGGTGGCTCAGTCCTTAGGCGTCTACCTTCGGCTCAGGTCATGGTCCCGGGGTCCTGGGATCGAGCCCCGCATTGGGCTCCTTGCTCCATGGGAAGCCTGCTTGTCCCTCTCCCACTCCCCCTGCTTGTGTTCCTTCTCTCACTGTGTCTCTATCAATAAAGAAAAAAAATCAGATCTGGGTCTTTCACATATCTTCCATGCTTCTACTTAATATGCTCAGTATTCCCTCTAGTCCTTGAACATATGGAATAAATTTATTTTAATATCCTTGTCTCCCAATTCTATCACTGATGTCATTTCTGGTCAGTTTAACAGGACTGTTTTTTCTTTTAATTATGGTTGTATTTTCTTACTTCTTTGGATGTCTGGTAACTTTTTATTTGATGTCAGATGTTATGAATTTTACCTTGTTTGATGCTGGGTATTTTTTATTTTAGAAATATTCTTGAGCTTGGGGTGCCTGGGTGGCACTGCTGGTTAAATGTCCGACTTGGTTTTAGCTCAGGCTGTGATCTCAGGGTTGTGAGACTGAGATCTGTGTTAGGCTCCTAGCTCAGTGCAGAGTCTGCTTTAGTTTCTCTCTCCCTGTTCCTCCCCCTGCTCTTTCTCTCTCTCAAAAATAAATAAATCTTAAAAAAAAAAAAGAAGAAATATTCTACAGCTTAAGTATTCTTGGTTAAGTTACTTTGAAGTAGCATGTATGGTTCTTGCCTTTCAACTTTGTCAGATCAGACCAGAGTAGTGGTTAGGGCTCTTTTCCACCCCTAGTTAGCTCTCTAATTGATGATCCTGTGAGTTACAGGTTTCCCACTCTTGCTGTTGGGAGCAGACAGCATTCCCGGCCTCTGTGAGCACTGGACACTGTATTTACTAGCCCATAGTTCTGTAGCTATATGGCACAAGTGAGTTCTCTCCTCAATCTATCACAAGGCTGAAATAACGTGTTAGTCTGAATTCTTGTGTGAAGGATCCAGGCAATAAATGTACTTCAAAGCTCTTTCTTACTGTTGTCAAAATTTAGCCCCTTGTAGCTATGGGACTAAGATGCCTGTTTCCTTGCCACTCTCAGCTCCTAATTGCTACCTGCATTCCTTGCCATGTGGCCCCACCCCCTTCAAGGCAGCAATGGTGCATCAAATCCTTCCCATTCTGACTTCTGTCTCTGACCTCCAGACCCATATTTAGAGGGTTCTCCATCCCTTAAAAGCAAAAGCTTAACATAACATAATCATAAGAGTAAAACCCATATTCACAATCCTGGGGATTATGCAGTAGGGCACGTACATCATGGGGCAGTGGTCTGGGAGGTTGTGTGTGCCAAGAAAGAGAGCTCTGGTCTCTCTTCTTCTTCTTTTTTTTTTTTAAGATTTATTTATTTATTTATTTGAGAGAACAAGAATGAGAGAGAGAGAGAGCACATGAGAGGGGGGAGGGGTAGAGGGAGAAGCAGGCTCCTCGCTGAGCAGAGAGCCTGATGTGGGACTCGATCCCGGGACTCCAAGATCATGACCTGAGCCGAAGGCAGTCACTTAACCAACTGAGCCACCCAGGCGCCTCTCTCTTCCTCTTCTTAAAAAGACACTAATCTGGGGTGCCTGAGTGGCTCAGTCATTAAGTGTCTGCCTTCGGCTCAGGTCATGATCCCAAGGTCCGGGGATCGAGCCCCACATCGGGCTCCCTGCTCAGCGGGAAGCCTGCTTCTCCCTCCCCCACTCCCCCTGCTTGCGTTCCCTCTCTCGCTGTGTCTTTCTCTGTCGAATAAATAAAATCTTAAAAAAAAAAAAAGACACTAATCCTAGCAAATCAAGGCCCTACTCTTATTACCTCACTTAACCTTAATTACTTCCATAAAGGCTCCATCACCAATACATTCGCATTGGGGTTTAGGGCTTCCTCAGATAAATGGGAGAGGGGCACAAACATTCTATTATGAAGACCATCTTAAATCCTGGCTACTGTAGCTGCCACTCCTTCTAAAGAGGGGGCTCTTTCCTGGCATTTGACTGTTTCCTTGCAAGTGCTAATACTCAAGGGCTCTCCCTGCAGATCTCCAGAGTTCTCTTTGTCAAATGGACTCTTCTGTGGGACTTCTAGCCTCCCTGGTGTCTCTGGACTCCTGGCTATGTGTCCTCAAGTCTGGGAGACCACTGCGCTCTGCCAGAGTTCCCCTCCCTGCACTGTAATCTTCAAGCTGTGAGCTGGGGCAACTGTAGAGATCACCCCTTTGTTTCCTGTCTCTCGGGGATTAATTTCCTTCACTGATTGATTTCCACTGAGAGAATGATGCCCAACACCTTGAGAGCTGTGTTTTCATGTATCTTGTCGTTTTTACATTGTTTTTTCAATAGTTTTATCTCAGAAATTTGTATCTTTAACCAATAACTTAATTAGGCATATTTCCAACATTTTTATAATTTCATGGTACCTGGTCTTCTTCAATTTGCTTTCCTCTCTCAACACTGTGTTTCTGATTCATCATATCGTTCCTTAGCAGTTATTAAACCATTTTCACTACAACACGTTCTTTCCTATTAAAACACCAGTTTATTCTGTCTATTCTACTGCTGATGGACATTGGGTCATTCCCAATTTTTTCTATCATGAAGCATGCTTTTTTTTTTTTAAAGATTTTATTTATTTATTCATAAGAAAGAGAGAGAGAGGCAGAGGGAGAAGCAGGCTCCCCGCGGAGCAGGGAGCCTGATGCGGGACTCGACCCCAGGACCCTGGGATCATGACCTGAACTGAAGGCAGATGCTTAACCATCTGAGCCACCCAGGCGCCCCATGAAGCATGCTTCTACTAAGATTCTTGTGTATGTTTCTTGGTGCTTACAAACAAACATCCTTACTATATACAAAAGAGTGGAACATTTGACATAGGGACCTGTATTTTCAACTTTGTTAGATAATGCCAAACTGGTTTCTAAGGTGAGTGTGCATATTTACATCCTCGTTCACTCTTGATAGCCAGATCCTTCCACTGTTTTCTTCATTCTGAAGGTGTTAACATGGTAAATCATTATGGTTTTGATTTCCATTTTACTGATGAATAATGAGGCCAAGCATGTTCTCACATTTATTGGCCCTTTGGTTTTCCTCCTCCGTCAGAACTTGTTCAAGTTTTGTGCCCATTTTTCCTATTGGATATTTGTTTATTTTTTTTCTCTTCAGAACAATTATTAAGTGTATACTGTTTCAAAAATGGTAACACTGATAGGTTCTTCATTAAAAAAATCTGGGTTTAGGGTGCCTGGATGGCTCAGATGGTTAAGCGTCTGCCTTTGGCTCAGGTCATGACCCAGGGTCCTGGGATCGAGTCCCACATCGGGCTCCCTGCTCCACGGGGAGCCTGCTTCTCCCTCTGCCTCTCTCTCTCTCTCTTATGAATAAATAAATAAAATCTAAAAAAAGTTAAAAAATAATAAAAAATTTGGGTTTACTTCCATCTATTTAGTAAAATTTTTATACATCTTATTTTTTTTAAACTGGGAAATAGTTTGTGTTTTGACTTATAAAGCCTCATTGTCATAGAATAAAGCTAGTAAATCAAAGCCAAAGAAATAATTACCCATTTGCACTGAAAAATATCATTTCTACTGTTTGAAGTTTCCTGAATAGGTAGTTTCTTCCCTGATGCCAAAGTAACAAGATGAGCAAGATGACTTTAATAAGTTAAAAACTAACTGTACAGGAGGTTACTCACTCAATCATCCATGGCATCAAATCAACGCATGATCAAACTTTCATGTTCACAGACAGACTCAAGTTGCTGTCAGTGCCAGCGCCAGGCCATCCTGTGCCCGCGTGGTGCAAGAGATGGCCTAAGCAGAGCCCTCACTTTCAGAATCATGGCTTCAGTTGTTTCAAGGACAGACTAGGGAAGAATGTTTTACATGTGACAAGACAAAGGGAAAAAAACAATTCCGCTGAAACAAATTTTTAATTTAGAAAACCCCTCCCAACAGTTTTGTAGAGATTGTATGTGTTGTGTAACAAGAACATTTTCTGCATCAGAGCACCCCAGGAAATTTCTTTACATTCTGGTGAATCATGAGCATTAACACCTGCAGGGATTGTATGGATTAAAAAGATGAGACATACACCTACCCCACGGACAGGGTGAACTGTCTTGTCGCATACGAGCTGTCATGTGGTCATGTGTGTAGTTGTCTGCAAAAGGAAAAGAGAGTTGAAGAGACAACAAAACACTTCTCGGAGAGTAGTGCAATTCACTGAGTTAAGCCTCTGCCAGAAGAGGCCCCAGGTGGAAGCTTCTCCTGCTATCACCTGTCAGTGCCCACAGCCACCCGGAACTGATTAACCCCAAGTCAAGGAGGGCCAGCTCCTTTCACTCACCTGAATGGCCACTCCCCAGGCCCCTAGACTCCTCAGCCCCTTGCCCATCCAGGACCCATGGCTCTTCTCCTCGCTCCAGCTGAGAGATCACATTGGGCTTTGATCCTGGAAGTCCTGCTCACGGGAGGGAAGGCCTTTTGTCACTACAGTATCTGTGAACACCCCCACCCCGCCTGAGTGACCTGCAGGCATGAGACAGACAGGACTAACATTCCTCTAGAGCTGAATACCTGGAGGTGACCCCAAAAGCCCCAACACAGGGCCCCCACCCCTGGCCAAGCACATAGACACAGAAGAGGGCTGCTGAGGGGCCATACCCAGTGATACCACGTTCCCATAGGTCTCCATCATCACGTGTCGGTAGAGGCCCCGCTGAGCAGGGCCCAGGCGGTCCCATTCCTCCTGGGAGAGGAGCACGGCCACATCCTCAAAGGTCACCTTGGCCTGGAATGACAGGGGCTGCTGCAGGTTGGACTAAGTCTCCACATCTGAGATGGAGCAGTGTGGGGTGGGGGGAGTGGAGATGCCCTTGGTTAGAGGGTAGGGGAAGCACATGTGAACAGCTTGATGGGGGTGGGGGCAGTAATAGGAAGAGGCCACAGAATCTAATAGATGCAGTGACACTCAGGCTACCACCTGGAGCCCCGGACATGGGAGGGCTATGAGGAAATGTAGAGGCCTCAGGGCAGCTCACCTGGGGTCCTGCTGGTGGTGGCAGGAGCCTGGCCGCTGCCATCCCTGATCCTCTGAGGTTTCTGAGGAAGATGGAACTCAGAGGAGCCTGTGGGGCTGAGGAAGAGGTGGGAGCACATGAGGGGCCCAGCCTTGCCCTCACAGATCCTGAGTTCTGGGAGTCCGGCAGCCTCCCCACCCCCGCAACTCTTACCCCACAGTTCAGGAACCATGGTCCCTGGACTCTAACCATGAGGCCAGGAACATCCCCTTTGAGATGTTTGGGGACACCTGTGTACCCCAAGGCTCCAGCCACAAGGTTTTGTTCTCCAGACCCTGGGGTCCTCATGGTCAGCTGGGAGCTAACAAGGACTTGGAGCCATCTGCTCAGGCTCACAGTCCACGCACAAGGGCTGGTGCCAGAGTATTCACAAAGAGGCCAAGCCGTCATCAGGTCCAGTGTGCGTGCCAGGCCAGGCTGCCTCCAGAGATAATCTCCAGGGAAGACAGGCTGAGAATGGATGGTTTTGCTTGAGGTCCACACTCCAGGCCCTTCATATTTCACTTGACCGTAACTCCTATGGGTCTGCTGATGCCTCAGTCTCCCCTGGTTGTGCCATCGTGCTCTAGTGAGGCTGGGGCCATCAACCTGGTGGTAGCTCCACCAGGGACTGGCAACGGAGGCATGACATGGTTGATTCTGGTAGATTAAGTCCAGAGTCATCCAGGGATTTGGTCTGAGCACTATGGGGAGGCCTGGGGGTGGGCAGGTTCTGGAGACATATCAAGACAAATTAAGCTGAGGTGTCTGTCATATTCAAATTACTGGAAAAAACGGGGGGGGGCATTAAGACCTCTCCTAATGGGGGAACGGGGCTCACATCTTTTGGAGTGTCACAGGGGGTCTGCAACAGGGACACAGAAACCTAGCAGGCAGATCACGCTAGGAAAAATGGCACAAGATCACCTTGACAAACAGGATGCCTCACTGTGGACTGCCTAAAGGGAAGGCTTGGGGCCAGGAAGTCAGGAAGCACTACAACCCCATTTTCTTTGTAGAACATCAGATGTATGCGTATGTTTGCATAGAGAGCTTTTGGGAATATACACATGGAACTCCTCACTGCAGCTGCCTCTGAGGAACATGACAGTAGACTCGGGTAGAGAGAGGCTGGCCTCTCTCCATCCCTCTGTTCACCAAGAATGCCCATTCCTGCCAAATCTGTGTGTGGTTGTGTCAATGCAACAGAAATCTAATTCTAATTAGATTACAACTGGGATTCTAGTAGGAGTCTTAAAAGAGTAAAACTACCTTAACATTCATATGAACAACAGATGCTGGAAAACAGGTAAGAATAAGATTTGAAAGAATTGGGGGGAGGGGCTGCCTCACCAGGTCCCAGAACAACGATGAGAAAGTCACTGCCACCACCTGCTCTGCCTCCTGCCCTACTGATGGTGTACCGGACACCCACACCCTCTCAAGCAGCCCACAGACCTGCCATCTCTCGTGGTCAGTCATCTTCCCCGTGGCATTGTCCAGCTGCTTCCCCTGTGTGGTCTCCACCCTCCCCACCTACCCCAAAGCGCCCCTGGTCCAGGTCTTCCATGACCTCCGTGCGGCCAGATCCTTGTCCACTGTTGGCAGTGGTGACAGGTGGTCACCCTGTCCTCCTGCACCTCAGTCCCCACTAGGTCTCCTGGACATTGTGCCCTCAGCCAGGGCCTCCATCAATCCTCATCTGCATGAGAATTTGACCTTCATGGATAATCCAGCCCTGGTCCCCTGGGGACCTGGTGCAAGTAGGCAGTCATCTGCACTATGGCCCCACTGCAACTGGGCCAGGATTAGGAACTCCATTCAGGATCTCCCCAGTGGGTGCTGGAGACGGGTACGGCTGACCCCAGGAGGAATTTGGTTTTTTTTTTTTTTTTTAAGATTTATGTATTTGAGGGGTGCCTGGGTGGCTCAGTAGTTAAGCACCTGCCTTCGGCTCAGGTCATGATCCTGGGGTCCTGGGATTGAGCCCCGCAGGAAGCCTGCTTCTCCCTCTGCCTCTGCCCCTGCTTGTTCCCTCTCTCACTGTCTCCCTCCCTCTGTCAAATAAATAAATAAAAATCTAAAAAAAGAAAAAAAAAAGATTTATTTATTTGAGAGAGAGTGCACGCAAGTGTGCACAGGCAGGGGGAAGGGCAGAGCAAAAGAATCTTCAAGCAGACTCCACTTAGAGTGGAGCCTAACACAAGGCTTGATCTCATGACGCCGAGATCATGACCTGAGTCAAAACCAAGAGTCAGATGCTCAACAGACTGGGCCACCCAGCCACCCCTCCTCCTCACTCTTTCACTCCTAATCCACCCTCCAAATATACCCAGAACCCAGCCCTGTTGCAACAGGGTTGTGCACCTGCCCCTCCCCCCAGTGGTGGGAACAATGATTGTCCTTGGCTTTAAACCCTTCTTGGCCCCTCCACGGCTGCTCAGAACCCTTTCTGGGCTTCCCTTCTGCTAGGGAGGCTCCTGCCCTTTGGTTGGTGCTTGGCCATTTCACCCTCTCGCTGAGGCCCTTCCTGAACCCCAATCTTGAGGGCCTCTGTGTCATCCAGTCTCTTTCTCCCTCCGCGTCCCAGCAGAGCAGCCAGCAGCCCAAGGTTTGCTGAGGAAGTGAATGAAATTAAAGAGCTATGAGACCATACTTCACACTCTTTCTCCGGAAAGCAACCTGGCAGTATGCAGATGAAGCAGATATACCATTCAACAGGGGGTGCTCCCCTGGAATGGACGGACTCAAGGATGGTGCCACTGCCAATCCATAGTCCTTCCAGACAGGCCATGCACCCTGAAAGATCTAAGCTGTGCGAGACAGCCAATGGGTATGTGAAATGATGGAACGCAAAGAGCATGTCCATAACATCCTTTTTCAGAAACAATGCCCCCAGGGCCAAGAAGTGTGTGTATGTGCTTTCTCCTCACCTATAAAACAGGGAGATCACATCCCTCCTCTTCGGGCATCCAGAGGACAGCAAGAGGCAGAGTCAAATGCTGCGGTGCTCATTCAATTAGATTAACTCAAAAAAACCAGGCTGTCAGTATGAGTGAGGCATGGAGGTGGGTGGAGAGGGCAAAGGGGAAGATTCCTGGGGATGGGGGGCGGGGGGGAGTCCTAGAAAAGCACGGAAACCAAGGCTCTCTACCTAGAAGGACCCTCACACATTACCAAGTAAAAGCATACCAGGATGCTTGTTACTAGGGTCAGAAGGGTTGTGTCCTTCCAATATTCATATGGGGAAATCCTAATGCCCAGTGGGATAGTGTTAGGAGGTGAGTCCATTGGGAAATGCTTAGGTCATGATGCTGGAGTCCTCACAATGGGATCAATACCCTTTTAAGAGACCTGACAGAGCTTCCTCACTCCTACCACGTGAGGACACAGCAAGAAGTCTGCAACCCGAAAAGGTCCTCCCTGATCTCAGACTTCCAGCCTCCAGAACTGTGAGAAATGTCTGTTGTTTTACAGGCTACCTAGTCTACAGTATTTTACCATAGCAGCCCAAAGGAACTAAGACACCTGTATTCTGATTAAAAAAAAAAAAAAGATGAACAAAACAAATACAAAAAGTGGTACTAACTAGTTTTGTACAAGTCTGTGACCGCATGCAAAGATGTGCTAAAACTGTGGCCCTCAAACCTGACAACTGTCAGGCAGGTAAAAAGAGCCATCCAGGGCACCAAAACCGGCTTTTGGTAAGATACCCTCTCCTCCACCCTGACCCCCATGATTCTGATGCCCACCTCCAGGCTTTGCTCTGTGAGAAAAACACAGGAGTTGTTTTTGTTTGTTTGCTTTTTAAATAAGGGGAGGGAGGGGCAGAGAGAGGGGGAGAAAATTTTTTTTTTAAACATTTTATTTATTTATTTGAGAGAGAGAGAATGAGAGCCAGAGAGCACGAGGGAAGAGGGTCAGAGGGAGAAGCAGACTCCCCGCTGAGCAGGGAGCCCGATGCGGGACTCGATCCCGGGGCTCCAGGATCATGACCTGAGCCGAAGGCAGTCGCTTAACCAACTCAGCCACCCAGGTGCCCCGAGGGGGAGAAAATCTTAAGCAGGCTCCACACTCAGCACAGAGCCCAAAGCGAGGCTCGATCTCACAACCCTGAGATCATGACCTGAGCCAAAAATCAAGAGTTAGACACTTAACCCAAACCAGGAGTTTTGACAGGAAGGGAGAATAGGTGGGCATGCCCAGTCCTGTTCAGATAACCCCAGAGCCAGAATCACCATCACTGAGTATCAGAGCAGACTGTGAAGAAGGCTATGCCACCCCCAACACATGGCCAAATACAAACCGCACCCGCCCTGGGGGTGCCTGCACCAGTGCCCACCCATCCATCAGCCACAGTCATTCTTCAGATGCAGGAATTTCATTTTTGGAAATCTCCTCAGGGAATAACCCAAACAAAACCAGAATAGATCAATGTTCTCAGCAGCACTGGATGCTTAACGGGAAAGAAGCCACACTGCAGTGAGACATTCTGTGCCAAGCAGGCTTTGGCTCTCGTGATGACTGAGCAGCCAGCAACAGACAGGAACTAAAGAAGGGACTGCAGAGACACAAAGAGCTTAGAATTTAACATTTATTATTATTTTGTTTTGTAAGCTAAGTTTTAGGAACTTAACGCCCTGGTTGAATTCCTCATGGGCTGGATGTAAAAGAGCTAGCAAGCCTATCCTCCAAAGACCTTGCCCACAGGGACAAGCTAGGACAGGCACTCCGAGTCCCTGGTCTGGGGTGGGTGGCTCCCAGGATCTTCCTCCCTCTGTCCTCACCATCCTCACCTATCGGTTTTCTTGCTGGAATACTCTGCCCTCCATGGTGGAAGCATCTTCAGAAGAGGCACCTCCAAGACACTTGTGAACACAAAGCACAACCCTGCAATCTTTTCTTTTCTTTTTTAAGATTTTATTTATTTATTTGACAGAGATATAGCGAGAAGGAACACAAGCAGGGGGAGTGGGAGAGGGAGAAGCCGACTTCTCACCAAGCAGGGAGCCTGTGGGGCCTGATCCCAGGACCCCGGGATCATGACCCGAGCCGAAGGCAGACGCTTAATGACTGAGCCACCCAGGCTCCCCAACAACCCTGCAATCTTCCATAGTGAAAGACTGCGCATCCAAACCAATAGCTTTCCTATACACCAGCAACACCTAGTCAGAAAATATACAGGGAAAAAGATGCTGTTCACAAATGACACAAGAAACAAGCTTAAAACAAACTTTAGAAATGACATGTAAATTCTCACTGTATCCACAAAATCAAGGTGCCTAGAGCCAAGTGGGCCTGGACGAAAAGGGGTGACACAGGAATGGGGCAGAGCAGGGCCAAGTCTATATAAACAAATGGAGAACAGAGGAGGCAATTCAAATTGCTGAGGAAAGATGATTCAGTAAATGGGGCTAGGGCCAGTTAAATGCTTTAGAAAAAGTAAAATTAGGCCTGTACATAAAGTTCAACACATCTCCCAGAAAGTAGAGCAAAAAGATTAGAAAAAAAAAAAAAAAGGCCCAGAAAAAAATTAGATCATATCAAATACTACAAGTCTAATGAATGAATAAGAGTTGAAATTTTAAAAGTACATTTTATAAAAAGAACTTGATGCAAATAGGTAAGTTTTTATTATTTCAGGTGGGAAGGGCCTTTCTAAGCAAAATACCAAAAGCAGAAATATGGGGACAGAGACTTCCAGATCTGCTGCATGAAAATTAAGACCGTATGCACATCAAAGCCGCCAAAATCCAGAATGGACCCAAAATCATGTAAGAATTTAATGCATGACAAAGGTGGTTTTCCAAATCAATGGAAAGATGAATTATTCAATAGGTGATGTTAGAAACAGCATCGTGAAAAAAAACGAAGCTGGAGTCCCCTCACCCCACACCAAAATAAATTCCAGATGGATCCAACATTGCACAAGTACCAGAGAAAAACAAGGGTTTATTTTTAAAAATAATCTTGGCAAGGGGAAAGCCCTTTAAAACATAACAAAGCTCAAAAGCCTTAGGAGTAAATATTTTACCATTAAAAACTTGAAATCTCTTCAAAAAACCCCAAACCAGAACAAAACACCGTAACTGGAGTCAAATGTCAGTCTGTGAAGAATATTTTCAACATATACGGAAAAGAGTATGAACTGGCAGATCACAAAGGAAATACAAAGGCGAAAAAACGGGGGGCAGCACCAAGGCACACGAAGAGTTTCAACCTCACCAGTCACCGGGGAACGGAAATTAAAACATTCATGTGACAACAATGCGGGGAGGGCGATCTTCGGGCCCCAGCCTCCCCTCACTCCACCTCCGGGCGCACCCTACGGGGACAGCGGGTGTGCAAAGCCGATGGAACGCACGGCCACGAAGACAGTTTTTACGTGAAAAATCTACAAGCATCGGCCAGTAGAGCACGGCCACCCCTCCGCCCCCGAGCTTCCCTTTCAGGCCAGAAGCGGAAAAAAGCGCACCCAAAATCCGGAAAAGGGTACAAAGCCAATCAGCCAGAGCCTCCCCTGCGCACCCTGGCAGGCTGCTCCCGACGACCACGCTCACTTTTTGTATTTCTCTCACATGTTTACATTTTAAGAAATGCATATTATTTTCTACTGAAATGTGAAAAAACAAGAAACTAGGGAAATATCTGCAAGCCATGTGAGAAAAGATTGGTCTCATTCATTAAGAAAGGGCTCTTACAAAGTAATAGGGAAAAGACAGCATGAATGTAACCAGGGAGGAAGAATGTAAAATGAGAAGTACTTTTGGCCGAAGAGACACCAACGCCGCCCGGACGCGGGGACGGCCGACTGCGAAGCGCGGAGGCGTTGCGGCCGCCGCGGGGCCCGGTGGGCTTCTCAGCCTCCGGCTCTGTTTTCGGGGGAGCCCTCGAGAGCGAGCCCGGGACACGCGGGTCGCTGACCGCCCTCCCCTGCGCAGTCGCGCCGGACCCTCTCGGCCGAGGCCCCGCGGCATCCCCGCAACTCCGGCCAGGGCTCGCAGTCCGCGGGGGAGGCGCCCGGGAGATGGGGACCGGTGTGGGGGGGTCTGGGCTGCCCCGCGGCCTGGGGGGAGGGAACCGGGGCGTGGCAGGGGCGGTGCGGTGAGGGCCCCGGGTCCCGGTCGCGGGGGGCCTGGGCGTGTCACGGGTGAGGGGAGGGGGGCCCGGGGCGTGGCAGGGCCCGAGGGGTGGGGGTCGGGAGAGGCCCGGAAGCGAGGAGCAGCCAGGGGACTGGGGTGTGGCGGGAGGCGGGGAGGCTGGGGGCTGAGAGAGGGGTCCGCGCAGGGAGAGGACGCCACTGCACGTCCGCAAAAGGGAACCGGCGCCAGGGGCGGGGGCAGAGCGTGCCCGCGGGGAAGTGCCTTGTCCGTGAGGAAAGCGACCCGGCTCCGGCTTCCGTGCGGGCAGGGGGTCCCCGTCGGCCAGTGCCCACACGCACCGCCAACTCACCTTCCACGCCGCAGGCTCACGCGCGAAGAGACTGACGCCCGCAACGCACTCAGACAAAGGGGGCGCCCCGCCTCGACTACGCATCCGCCAATCCCGGGGGGCCCCGCCTCCTCAGTCCCCGCCCACATCCCGGGCCACCAGTCCTAGCGTGCGACATCCCCCAGTGCGGCCGTCGGGCCCGCCTTCCCCGCCTGCGCCATTTTCCTGAGTGACAGCTCTGCGGCGCGCTCCAGAGCCACCGAGAGACGAGACCTCCGGCGCGCCTAGAGAGGCCACACCGTGCTCCGGCCTCGCACGAACGGCACTTCCGGCGGTCCTGCGGGAGTTCGTAGCGCGGCTCCCCAGCGTCGGGACTGCGTCGCGGTCGAACTGCGTTTCCCGCTTCTGTCCCACTGGTCCCTCTGCCGCTTCAAGCCGGTGTCACGCCCCCCCGACCGCCCCGAACGTGCCTTCTTGTTGCTGCGCCCCAGGACCCGGCAAGGGCCGGGCGGTGGTCGTCCCGTGTGACAGTGCCTCTTCGACCAGCGGCGCTGGTGTTCACGGGCTTTGTGGGGGGTGTTGAAGCCTACGCCCGGGAGGGCGGTGAGCCGTTCAGCCGGAGCACCCCCGGGAGAGGAGGCTCAGGCAGCCAGCACTAGAATGCCCGAGGAGAACGGTCGGGGGGAAGGATTGGCCATCTCGCCTCTCCTGAAACGCGAACCCCTGGATCGGGAGTTCCAGTGACCCCTCGGGCAGCAAGCTGGGATGGGAAGAAGAATGAAGCGGGCCGGGGGGGCGGGGACGGCCCTCTCGCTCTTTACTTTCTACATTTTAGCTTCTTACGATGGGAACTTTCAACGCTATACAAAGGCAGAGAAAGTAGTTTGTCCGTCAAACACCTGAAACAGTTACCCATAGCGAGTCTCTTCACCTATCTCCCTGTCTAGTTACTTCCTTCCCCAATCCCATAAGGGCCCTTAAAGGGGTAATTACAAAACCAGTATCCTTTATTATCATCAAATAGCCAGTGTTGAGAGTCTTCCCTCTGTCTCCTACTGTTTTTATTCTTAATCGGTTTGTGTGAATCGTGATTCAAACTGATGAGGGAGCAGAAGGCAAACTGAGGACAAAGCAGAAGCTGACACCCCACAACACGCCCTCCCCCCGCCATGAGTTGTATGTGACATTCTTCAGGCACTTCTGGCTGCCCTTAAAGGAAAAACAAATCATTTATAGAGATTACAATCCTGCGAGACACGAGTCTCCCTCAGTTTATAAATGTTTCAGCAATCTACAAGAACAAAGCATTTCTATCAATAACCTAGCTTCCAGAAGGAAATGTAGATACAATTAATTGTCCTTATAATCTGCAGCCCATGGACAGATACTTGAGGCGGGGAAAGTACTGTTCCTCTGGGAAGCTCCCAACTATCTTACTGTTAATGCCTTACTAGAAGGAAAAACAAATTTAGTTTGACAATGGCAAGGCTCTGGTATCCTGTGAGTCTTCATTAACACACGATAATCCTTTCGAAACCTCCCTTTTCCATACCTCCCCCAATTCCGAAGTATGTAATGAGCCACGCCTCACAAACCCGGGGCTGCTTTTTCTGCCCATGAGTTCTGTCCCCATGCTTTAATAAAACCACCTTTTGCACCAGGGATGTCTCAAGTATTCTTTCTTGGCCATGGGCTCCAGACTTCACCCCACCGAACTTCACCTATATTCCAAAAACCCCATCAAAACTAGGAACGCACAGTGCATTTGGTCTACAGACTTACGTTTTATCTTTTTTTAAAAAACTAGAATCTTATTTAAAAATTTTAAATCCAGTAGAGTTAGCATGCAATGTTATATTAGTTTCAGGTGTACAGTAGAGTGAGTCAGTAATTCCTTGCCTTACTCAATCCTCATCAAGAAAATTGTACTTTTGGGCGCCTGGGTGGTTCAGTTGGTTAAGTGACTGCCTTCGGCTCAGGTCATGATCCGGGAGTCCTCAGATCGAGGACTGCTCCGGCTCTCTGCTCGGCGGGGAGTCTGCTTCTCCCTCTGACCTTCTCCCCTCTCGTGCTGTTTCTCTCTCGCTTGCTCGCTAATAAATAAATAAATAAAATCTTAAAAAAAAAAGAGAAAATTGTACTCTTAATCCCCTTCACCTATTTCATCAACTCCCCACCCACCAGTTTGTTCTCTGTAGTCAAGTCAGCCTTTTGATTTGGCTTTTCTTTTTCTTTTTTTCCCTTTGTTTTGTTTCTTAAATTTCACGGGAGTGAGATCACATGGTATTTGTCCTTCTCTGATTGACCTATCCCACTCAGCGTTATACTGTCCAACTCCATCCATGTTGTTGCAAATGGCAAGATTTCATTCTTTTTTATGGTTGAGTAGTATTCCATTGTATATATTATATACACTGCATCTTCTTAGTTCATCAGTAGGTGGACACTTGGGCGGCTTCCATATTTTGGCTATTTGTAAATAGTGCTGCAATGAGCGTAAGGGTTAAATATCCTGATCTATAGTTTCCTCCCACTTTTTTTTCCCACCTCTTTGAAATTTATCAAAGTCTGGTCATGCACCCTGTGGAATTTCTCATATTTGGGGTTTTGGCATTTGCATTCTTGTGGTGTCTTTTTGTCACTAGAAGTTCCTGTAAATTTAGAGGGGGAGAGTAATTAGATTTTGCTTTGGCACCCAAGAATACTTCATAAGTGGGCATTCTGTATTTCCAGTAACAGTCACCACCTAGCTGTGTTTCATTAGGAGTTTGCATTGGTATTGGTATCCCTTTTGCCTTTGTGGAAACAGTTCCAGAAAGACAAACTTTCCCCTATCATTTGTTTGGCATCCATACAGGACAGGAAAGTTAAATGCTTAATTATTGCCTTTATTTATGAGCTTTCAGAATAATGGGAGATGAGCTTGGAATATCTTGGAATGAAATCTTGCCATTTGCAACAACATGGATGGAGCTGGACAGTATAACACTGAGTGGGATAGGTCAATCAGAGAAGGACAAATACCATGTGATTTCAGTCATGTGAAATTTAAGAAACAAAACAAAGAAAAAAAAAAGAAAAGCCAAATCAAAAGGCTGACTTGACTACAGAGAACAAACTGGTGGTGGGGGGGGCGTTGGTGAAATAGGTGAAGGGGATTAAGCATACAATTATCCTGATGAGGACTGAGTAAGGTAAGGAATTCTGTCTTCTGGTTTTAATGTCATTCTTCAGAGGTGACCAATTAGGTATGTTTCTTTCTTTCTATTATCATTTGAACTCAAAGACTTTAACATATTTGATGGATTTTAATCCATTACAGTTTTTAAAATTAATAATCATTCCATCTTTGGCCAGTGGAAGCCTCTTTAAGTTCACCCTGAGTCTTTTTGGTGCAAGCCCTGTGATCATTGATCACTTACTTGATTTCTGATACGACAAGCTATTCCAAGCTCATCTCCCATAATACCTGGATCCCTAGAGTCGCATATTTTTTTCAAGAAACCCTAGTCCATCCCAGTGGGAAATGGCATTTGGAGCACCCAACTGGGGCTCTAGGAGTGCTTGTTGCCACCAGGTTGGTTATTACGCCTGTCTTCAGAGGACAAAAGCTAGGGAAAAAATTTTTAATGTAAAAATACCTCAGGAGTTCACACTGATACTTCAAATTCAAATTTAGGGCTAGGTGGTTATTAACTTCTTTATATTTGTACCTCTTTTTCTCTTGTATTAAACATCTTGGATCCTGATGAAACCAGAGAAGGAGACAAACCGTAAGAGACTCTTAATCATAGGAAACAAACTGAGAGTTGCTGGAAGGGAAGGGGGTAGAGGGATGGGGTAACTGGGTGATGGACATTAAGGAGGGCATGTGTTGTAATGAGCACCGGGTATTGTGTAAGACTGATGAATCACAGGCCTGTACCTCTGAAACCAATAAAACATTATATGTTAATTTAAATAAAAATGTTTAATAAAAATAAAAATCTTGGATCCTGATTATCTTAACACAATTATTAACTTTATTATTTATATATAATTGTGTCAGAATAACAATGCCATTATTACTAACAGTATGATTATCGAAAACAGTCTAACATTCTTTTGTAGCTCTTTCTGTTGTCGGGATATATGTCATTTAGGATATTACTCTGCTTTAAAGTAAATTAAAATAATTTGTTTCTGGGGCGCCTGGGTGGCTCAGTTGGTTAAGCGACTGCCTTCGGCTCAGGTCATGATCCTGGAGTCCCGGGATCGAGTCCCACATCGGGCTCCCTGCTCGGCAGGGAGTCTGCTTCTCCCTCTGACCCTCTTCCCTCTCGTGCTCTCAATCTCTCATTCTCTCTTTCTCAAATAAATAAATAAAATCTTAAAAAAAATAAATAAAATAATTTGTTTCTGTGGGGTTAAGACTCTAACAATATATACTGGTTCATTTGTTTCATTTTGCTTATGCTCTTTAGGGTTAAGTTTTTCAGGTTTTTTTTTTTTAAGATTTTATTTTTAGGGGCACCTGGGTGGCTCAGTCGTTAAGCGTCTGCCTTCGGCTCAGGTCATGATCCCAGGGTCCTGGGATCCAGTCCCGCATCGGGCTCCCTGCTCCACGGGAAGCCTGCTTCTCCCTCTCCCACTCCCTCTGCTTGTGTTCCTGCTCTCGCTCTCTCTCTCTCTGTCAAATAAATAAATAAAATCTTTAAAAAAAAAAGATTTTATTTTTAAGCAATCTCTACACCCAACGTGGGGCTCGAACACACAACTCTGAGATTGCATGATCCACTGATTGAGCCAGCCAGGTGCCCCAAATTTTTCAGGTTTTTATGTAATTTTGTTTTATGATTATGTAAAACATTTATATGGTTCCAAAGTCAAGTCTACAAAACAAAGTACATTCAGAGAAGTCTGGCTTCTCTCCCTGTCCCCACCAACCTGTTACCTTCCTCTCCCTATTGGTAACCATTTATTTAAAATCTGAGTAAATTTCAGTGAACAGTAGCATCCTGTACCTACTGTTCTGAATTTGGGTTTTTTCACTTAACAGTGTGCTGCAGACCTCTCACTAGCAGCGTCTAGGAATATTCCTTATTCCTT